TACAGAATATGTTGGCCGAAGATATATAAGCAGTTACGACCAACTTCCTAAAAGAACACGGACAATTCTCTACCTCTCTACCTGCTCGAATGTGGTCCTGCTGTCCTTGGCCTCTTGGCATCCTTCCCTCCTACTGGACTGGCAGGAGTTATTTTGCAGACCCAATCCAAAGCCATTAAGTCAAGCCCTGTGCTTGAGCTCGGCATTGAAGAACCCAAGGGAAGTAATGCATCTATTTTTCAATACCGGAGGCCATTTTGTTTCCAGCCTTAATTGCACTTATGTATTGGTTTGGCGTACACCATCTCCACTCATCTTGCTCCATTTTCCACTATTCCTCTATTAATACAGACCTTAGGAAACATAATTGCAGTGTGCAGTAGACAGCGATTTTCATTAAGTACAGAAGAAAACTGTTTAGGGAGAGACACATATTTTTTTTCCTATTGATTCAATCAAAATGACTTGGAAGAAAAGGCTGGGCTGATTAAATTCTTTTCAAAAAGGTAGCTGCTAAAATTTAAATTCTTTCTCAACAAAAAATTGGTATATAATCTCTTCAGGTTTTGTCAGTTATGAATTTTTGTTCTTCCCAGTTCCTTTGAAATTTGTGACTTTTATTGGTCTTTTTTGTTCTTTTTCCTTTTTTTTTTTTTTTTTAAGTGGAGAGGGGAGACTTTTACATGGAAACAGAGAATGTAATCAGCGCTGCTATCTGCAAGACATGGAGTTGCCTAGCAATGCTAGGGGAATTAAAAGGGGGAAGCAATAGCAAAACAGAACCCTGCAAAATTACAAGAGGGCACAGTGTTAAATTGGCTTGCACTACTTATCAAAAGGTCTTTCTATGAGAATGGATATAGGATTTCCTAGGAGTGGTATAAAAAAATACCTGGCCATTTTTCAGTGTTCTTCCTAGCTTTCATTTGGAGTTTACCCAATGGAATTCTGCCATTTTGAGTTCATTACTGGACAAAATCTAGGCCAGAAACATCTGACAATAAAACACAGAGCCTCACTGAGACACTGGTACTTGAGTCCTTTCCAGTTGGACTAATTGAATATAAGATATATAAGCCTTTCATATTCTCCCATTGTTTTACAGGCTTTTGCAGCTCACATGGCAAATGCTGTTCCCTTTGTTGTCCTCTCCCAGATTTCAGAGACTTCCTTTGAAGTTTTCACACCAGGATAAATGGGGCTGCTTTGTTTGTGACTCAGTCTCTCCCAACACAAGGAGTATACAAGATCCCAACCCTGGGAGCACAAAAGCAGAAACTTTGGTGACACCAAGATTTGATTTGTCTTCCTCCTTTACCTTGATTATGCCAAATCTTTTTTCTTTAAGAAGGATACTATACTTGTATATCTCTGTCTTCAGTTGCTATAAACTTTTGCCTAACAGTGCCAGAAACGTGACCTAGAATAAAGGATTAGCCCTCACAGAGATGGCAGAAATGATGAGGGATAAAGAAATCCCAATGGAACAGCTATGGTATTATACACTTGGGAAACAAATATGAAACAGGCTCAGGATGGAAAATGAGGAGCCATGTGCTGAAACACATCCTTACATCAGTAAGGGAATTTATCAATATTCTGACTAGGAAGGAGAACAGGAAACCATACATAGAGAGTAGAGATCTGGGTTCTATTTTGTTTTTCTTTAAGATTTTATTTTTAGGGGTGCCTGGGTGGCTCAGATGGTTAAGCATCTGCCTTAGGCTCAGGTCATGATCTCCAGGTCCTGGGATCGAGCCCCATGTCAGGTTCCCAGCTCAGTGGGGGAGCCTGCTTCTCCCTCTCTCTCTGCCTCTCCCTGATTGTGTTCTTTCTGTCTCTGTCTCCATCTCTCTCTCAAATGAACAAATAAAATCTTTAAAAAAAACATAAGATTTTAAAGTAATCTCTATACCCAGTGTGGGGCTCAAACAACCCCAAGATTAAGAGTTACACACTCTACCGACTGAGCCAGCCAGGTGCCCCAGGAGATCTGGGTTCTAGAAATAGCTATGCCATAAACTAGTTGTAGCTCTTGGAATTTAAGATTTTTATTGTGTAAAATAGGCCTGTTAGGTTATCACTAAGGTCCCTTCCAGTTCTCACATTTAAATTCCAGAATTCTGAGCATGTTTTGGTCTGAAGAACAACATCTCGAAAACAGGCACTTTTTTTTTTCCCCTTCCTTATACCAGTTCCAAACTGCAACAGGGAATTATGATAAGGTTTTAGGTGTTTCTCTACCTTCTGAAGTTATGCATCTATAACGCAATCCCAAATGAGTTCAGAACTGTATAATGTTTAGCACTGTTTATATAGGTTTAGTTCTTTGTGTTCTTCTTTATTGATTCCCAGGAAGAAACAGAGTATTGCTCGAAGATCTTTTTGAAACAAGTTTCACTTTTGGCTTTGGAAGAGAGCATACTCTTCTCTGCTTGCTTCTTTGCTGGCAGCTGATATTCCTCCTCCTGACTGCTAAGGAAGTAGCGCTCTGGATCCATTTCCTTTTCATAGTACCCATTCTCTCTTGACAACTCCTTTGTCTTCATGGCTTCATCCTTTCCTGATGACTACCAAATTGACTCTTCTATCTCAGCGCTCTACAAACTCCAGATCTACACCTCTTCCTTATACCCCATAAATATTTCAAATTCAGCTTGTCCAATGATCTCAGCCTTCTCTCCTTGCTGATATAATTACTGGCATCAATAGCATCCCCCTTCTGCTTCTGTTGGGATTGTTATTCCTCCATATTCTCCATTCATTCATTCATTCATTCCGTCAGCTATTCATTCTGATTTGTTAAAGTGTTTCTCATACAAGAAATGTAGTTATTTTTGTGGCCACTGCTCTAGAGGCAGACTTTTCCTTCCCTCAACTGAAATATCAAAGTCTCCTAACTCATCCATTCTCGTTTCTTCTTACCTTCCCAAACACCTGTGCCAGATTCGCTCCTTGAAGCAGAGCTCCAGCCACTGCATTCCCATATATCAATACAATCAATCCCCACTACCACCAAGATTCATAAAATTAAGTAAGGAACTCCTCACTTCCTATTTGAGGCCTTTTGAGCCCTTGATTGAACTGAATTTGCCAGTTTCCACATCCATTTTCTATTTCAACCAAATCAAGCTTCCTGCTGAACAGATATTAAGCTTTCTTTCATTTGCTAATGTTGACCTCCAAGCCACAGAGATCCCTCTCTCTCTCCTACTTAGTGTAGCATCAATTAATAAATTAATTCAGTTACTTATTTTGAATTAAGTAGACACTGATATCCCTTTCAAATGCTATGGATTCCACGCTTTTCCTGATAATCCTAATTGGGCATAATCTTTTTTTTTTTTAATCCTCCATAGGATAGTGCACTTATGGGTATATTGGACTTCTACCTATCAACAGGTGTAAAGTCCTAGAGCTTGCTGTTTGCATTTTACCATTCTTTGAATACTCTGCAAGGCCTTTAGCATTGAGTAGCAGTGGCATATAGTTAATAAATTAAGCTGATTTGAAATTTCCTAATTATATTCAGGCTTTTTGACTTATTCAAACTCTGTTATCTAGACAGTGAGTGGGGACTAATGAGAGCAATGATCTAGGGTGAGAGCAGATTGGTTTTAGGGTGAGGCTAAATTTTCAGTTAGTCTGAGGAGCCAAAGTTCAAAAGCATATACTGTTTCTGTTACACACTAAAATTTAACAAGTTATAAATTCAGCAAGTTTTTTTTTTAAAGATCTATTTATTATTTTAGAGAGAGAGAGTGCACACAAGCAGAAGGAAGAGCAGAGGGAGAGGAAGCAGACTCCTTGCTGAGCTTGGGTCTCAATTCCATGACCCTGAGATCATGACCTGAGCCCGAATCAAGAGTCAGATGCTTAACCTGACTGAGCCACCCAGGCGCCCCTAAATTTTGCAAGTTTTAGGTCAAATGATCTTGCTTTCAGATCAGGACAAATCTGTGGTTTACTTAATGTTTCTGAGTCTCAGTTTCCTTATCTATAAGAAGGTAATGATAGTGTCATTTATCCCAGAGGACTGTTGGAAGGACAGTGAGATAGGAAGTTCTGTCAAATGCTTAGATAAGAATGGTACATAGTAAGTGCTCAATAAACACTAACCAATACGGTCATTACTCTCATCATCCACCACTCATAGGCCAAATCAGCCACATTAATAAAGATGGTCCCTAAATTCTTTCATACCGGAGGTCCTGTTCAAATTTGGCAATCAAATTTGGGCTTTGTCATTACACAGTAATCAAAAGAACTTAAAGGAGAGTCAGAAACCACCGGCCATGGAGAATGACATAAACAAGGATAAGATCTAGGAGGAAAGATTAAATAAACTGAAATTATGTTGCTTAAAGAGGTGTTCAGTGGAAGATTTGCCTTCCAAAATATTTAGAATGGAGAAAATGAAAGCAGTGACTTGTAGGTTTTATTTCCAGTAAGAATACTAGCTTCCATACAAAATTGGGTGCTAAAGTTATATAGAGCAGGGAGATAAAAATGCCCCTTTACCCTCCTAGAATAGGCTAGCAAAGGAGTTGTGGAGTCATTTAAACATATGATAAGAAGCAGGGCAGAAGACCATAGGGGAAGGGAGTGAAAATTGAATGGGAAGTCATCAGACAGGGAGGAAATCCATGAGAGACTCTTAACTCTAGGAAGCAAACTGAGGGTTGCTGGAGGGGAGGTGGGTAGGGGATGGGGTAACTGGGGGATGGGCATTAAGGAAGGCATGTGATGGGATGAGCAATGGGTGTTATACAAAGCTGATGAATTTTTGAACATACATCTGAAACTAATGATGTACTACACGTTGGCTAATTGAATTTAAATAAAAAAAATAAGCATACGATAGCACCTAATATTCCTGGATGATGTTAATATGACCTCATTCAAATAAATCACTGGCGGGTGGCTCACATAGTTTTTCCCAGCCATACGACAATGTGAGGATACCAGGTGAGGATATAAGAATGGCTTCACATTCTTACCTGAACTCTCATCCAGACTCTCCTCGGAGACATGCTCATTTTGATGGACCCACTCGCCATTGCATTTAAAGAATATCTGCATGGCTGGCCTTGCTTTGCACCTCAGTGCAATGGGGTTGCTCTTGATGATGTAAGCATCGTCTGGCTCCTCTATGAAATGAGGCAGCGTCCCAGGAGCTGAGGGGATGGACTCAGGAAGGGCTTCCCCATTGTCAGTTCCTGCAAAATCAAAGAGGCCATGAGAACACTGCCTATATCAACAGCACATGCATCCGGATGCAAAGCATAACCCACACCAGCTCTAAGAATCTGTGCTGGAAAATACTGCAGCCTATCGATACAGTCTATGCAGATGAATTCTCTTCTAGAGGCTGAACGAGTATAATATGGTATCTCTAGCTGGACACACCTTCAGGGTCACCAGACAAGGGAAAATAATGAATAGGAGACATCTTCAAACCACACTTTTGAGTCTGCAGGTCTTTGCTGAAAGAACAGAGACAACATCTGGGGGATGAGAGGCTGAACCTTAAGATTCAGTCTGGTGAGTGGTTATCTCAGGTTCAATGAGGCCCCAAGCTGCCTCAAAACTTTGAAATAATGATGGAAATAGCTTTTGTCCTCCCATAAATATGTGTGGATATTGACCATGTTGTTGGAGGATACTCAGTCTTAAGACATGTGAAAAAAATTCCAAATCGTCTGCCTTCTCTACCTCTGAAACTGGAGGCTGGCTAATATTCTACCTTAGAAAGAGTTTTCTCCAAAACCTCACCAACTTACTGAATCTTCTAAAAGGAATGCATGTTTGTTCCACTGGCCCACAGCTCCATTCTCTGCCCCCAACACTCTCCTCGATATACTGCGAATCTCACTTCCAAGGCAACAAACTAAAACGAATCCCTAAAATAGCCGTGAGCTTTTACTTTGGGACCTATAATTATGTTTCTTCAAAGATAAAAAATGGACATGATTCTCCCCTAAATTCAGGGAACTGATGAGTAGAGAGAAGCAAAATAAAAAGGGAAAAGCAGAAGCCAAGATTTTGCTTCACTATCTCTTTACTACACTTAGCAAGGACTTAAGTCCTGGGAAACTACGGCAAAGTCAAGGGCAGCAAGGTCTGAACACTAACTAAGCACTGTGGAAATGACCAGAAGGAACAAGTGTGCCTTCCATGGCCACTCCAAAGAACGAACAAAGAAAGCAAGAATTTCACAGTACTGAGATCCACTATGCCCTGGAAAGGATTATTCATATTCAAAGCAAACCAATCTCCAGGAGGAAGCTGGGAAAGGAACCTAGCAAAAGCCCTGGAAGAACAACCCAGTTCATCTGGCACAAGCCTAGGTGACAGAGAGGATGTGTCTTGTGATTTTGCCTGGTTCTCTTTGCGACTTCAGTGTCATTCAGAACAAAACAACTGAGCCTCTTAATATTCACACTTAAGCCAATCAGCTATATCAAGTAAGCGCTATCAAAGGTAAACCCAAGCCACAATATTAGGGGGTAATATTTTAAGACTTAGGGCATTCTCAAATGCAAATCAAGGGGGAGAGACTAGGGCACAAGAGGTATGGTTGCCTCTCATTCTAGGAAATAAAAGGAAGTGAGTTATGAAAAACATGCCTTGCCAGTGGGAACACACGAGCGCCACTCGTGCCCCCGCAGTGAATTAAACAAAACAAGAGTTTGAATCTCCAAACTAGTTTTTGCTACTAAATGCATCAACATAAGGGGGGGAGATCTCACACAACAAAGAGTTTAAAATACTATAAGCTTTAGGGGCGCCCGGGTGGCTCCGTGGTTAAGCGTCTGCCTTCGGCTCAGGTCATGGTCCCAGGGTCCTGGGATCGAGCCCCACATCGGGCTCCCTGCTCAGCAGGAAGCCTGCTTCTCCCTCTCCCACTCCCCCTGCTTGTGTTCCCTCTCTTGCTGTGTCTCTCTCTGTCAAATAAATAAATAAAATCTTAAAAAAAAAAGATACTATAAGATTTAAAATCCATTTGTAATAGAAAAGCTGGCTCATATGTAACTGGATGTACCAAAAATTCATCAGAAAGCAAATGCCCTAAGTAGCAAGAGAATAAACAATTTATGTCATAAAAGTACCAATACAGTCACTCAGAAAATAAAATGTGTATATGGAATAAGAAGGGTTTCAGGACAGAATCTGAGAGCGGTTTTTTTTTTTTAATGTTTTAAATTACATTTACAATGGACTTCATAAAATAGATCATATATTAATTCATTTTGTTACTGACTGCTCATGCCAATTTCCATCTTCAATAAATACTAAGTCCCCTCAGGCTTTTGTAAATCCATGCATTAGAGGAAATGACAAAGGCATTAAAAGATTTAATATGGACATCAAACAACTCACACTCCCATCACGGGCTTGAGTTCTGTCCAAAGTAATTCATTGCTGCAGAAAAGGGTCACCTGATAAAGAATATCCAAACCGTATAGTGGTAGCCTGAATGAATAGCCACAGGCATACATTCCGAAGGATGAATTTTGCTTAACTAGTGACAATGCACCAATGTCCAAAGTAACTACTAAAGCAGGGACAAGGAGCATCATAACTAACCCTAAATAAATAGTAAGGCCACATTTATTCAGAATGAATAAAATGACAAAGGCACTAGATCACAAATCAAGTTTAAACCATCCAATTCACAAAACAGAGATCCAAAAGCAATTAGGCTACCCTCCTGTTATTTTAATAAATACCCTTTAAATAAAGTAACAAGTTCAGATTCCACCTGAAACAGAGAAGAGTAGAATAGAAAAGTAGGTGGGTAAGTGTCCTAGCTATCTCAAGGACCTCCATTAAGAATCAGTCAATCCTCTGTTGAAGCACAGACCTGTACCTCTGAAACAAATAATACATTATATGTTAAAAAAAAAAAAAAAAGAAGAAGAAGAAGAAGAAGAAGATAGCAGGAAGGGAAGAATGAAGTGGGAGTAATCAGACGGGGAGAAGAACCACGAAAGACTATGGACTCTGAGCAACAAACTGAGGGTTCTAGAGGGGAGGGGGGTGGGGGGATGGGTTGGCCTGGTGATGGGTATTAAAGAGGGCACGTTCTGCATGGAGCACTGGGTGTTATATGCAAACAATGAATCATGAAACACTACATCAAAAACTAATGATGTAATGTATGGTGATTAACATAACATAATAAAAAAAATAGATCAAGGAAAAAAAAAGAATCAGTCAATCCTAATGCTCAGAGGAGGTGGGGTGGGTGGGGAGAGGCAAATTGTAACATTACATTGTAATTATTACTGAAGCCATGTCAAAGTCATATATGTATACGAAAAGGGCCAGGATCCATGAAAACAAGGAACAAAGGGAAAAATCAATTTATCAAGGGTGGCAGTGGGAAGGTGAGATCATAGGTATATTTGCATACACATTACCATTTATTTGTATCCTTCCCACGAAGAAATAAGTGATTTTTTTGTTTGCTTGTTTTGGTTTTTGTTTTGATTTTTGTTGTTTTTGTTTGTTTTGTTTTTTGCTTTATACAATGAAGTGTTGGGAGTGGTATTTACCTAACACTTTCCCCTAGTCCCACCATGGGCTCAGGATCAAGTTCACGTTACAGTAATGCCCTGCCCTTCAGATAACTCTGGTGCTGCAAGAAGGCTGGGTTCTCCCCACAAGCCGACCTCCAGGATGATACCCCTTCCTTACCTCACAAGGCTGGGAGTCACCTACCTCCGTTTTGCCCCAAGGATGCCTTCTGTGCTCAACCCCACAGACTGGCTTAGAACATAATTGCTCAGGAAATTCTCAGGGGATTCATCAAAGCAAAAGGGATGTGACAGAAAGGAAGTGACTTGGATACTTCTCAGGGGCTTAGAATTTGCCAACAGATCCTCTTCTTTAGAGGTGGTGGGCGGTGGGGGGCAACTCACTTTAATAAATGATTTTATGGAAGCCTGCTTGAATACTTTTGGGCTTCAGGGTGAATGTACCTACTGACCTCAATACATCTACCCCTGCTTTCTAATTCAAAGAAAAGTTTTAAACCTGGTGTGATGAATGCTGGCAACTATATGACCCAGTCAACTGCCTTTTCCCATACTTGCTTTTACAATAGAGGCTGGAGAAGTCATGGACTCAGTTTACTCCTTTGCAGGCAGGAACGGTCACGTGACAGCCATCTAGCCAATGAGTCACAAGCAGAGATTCCTGAGACAGCTTTCATTTTCCTGATAAAGGAAACAGGTCTGGTAGGTTCTGTCCTTTCTCCCTTTTGTCCCTGCCTTAACTAGGGAAGATCAAGAGGAAAAACAGTCCCAGAGGAGCAGACAACATAGAGGCTGAAATAACACCATGGGGCACCCACTTCCAGATGATTTTTTTTTTTTTAATCTTTCCTTATTTAAGCTACTAACAGTCAGATTTTCTGTTGTTTCCACAGAAGATATTCCTCACTGATACAACTGGATCTTCCTTCTTCAACAAAGCCAGGGCTCCAAGCTTCATTTTATTAAATTCAATGCTCTCTGTGTTACTGAATTTTGGACAGCTAAAACACATGGAAACTAGGATAGCAGACAGTAAAGTAAGAGCAGCTCGGTATTGAATGATTACAGATTATGGTGATACACCTTCTACGTGGATTAAGTCACTTAAGCTCCGTAGCAACTCTCTGGGGTGGGCACACTATCCTGTTTGCATTTGAGGAAATGCTTCGATTCTGCGCCTTGTCTAAGGTCATCCACCTAGTCAACGGGGCTCAGAATGTGAACACAGTTCTCTGACTCCAATCACCTCACAATTCCATTTTAGTTCAGATGAACGGACCCTTCAAAGTCTGGTATGGTAATTTAGTGAGTGCCTTATGGCAGCAGCATGTGGTTCATAAAACCAAAAACAGATATAGAATGGATACATTATCTGTGTGGTTCCTTACAGCCTACATTTAAGTATAATATTCATCTTAAAGATCACTCACACAGTTACCCCATTAGCTGGACTGTGATTCCAGGTATATTATGGGCACATCCTAGACAAGGTCTTGAGAAAATATTTTTGAGAGAAGAGCACAGAAAGTACTCAACTAATTATGATCAAATGACTAGGTATCCTCACTAAAGTTAGAAAACAACGAAGTTGAAGAATACGTGTTTGAGAATAAAATGAGAAAGCTTTTTCAATATTTCATTTGGAAATTGTTTCATC